TATGACGAAGACGTGCTGTCCACAGCGGCCTCCGATTCGGAGGATTTATTGGGTGAAGTGTGCAGTTCTCTCCCTCTGAGTGGACAGGAGAAACGCACCTCCCCGTCTTACAGCGAACTATTAGACGTTGTAACGCGCGCTGTGGATAAGCTGGGGTTAGAGTGGAATAGCGAGCCGGCGCAAAATCAGACCCAGTCGAAACTGGACGATCGATTTTTGTCCAGCCGCACTCCGTCTCAGCCCCGTAGGCCTCTCCCCTTTTTCCAAGACCTCCACCACGAGGTTTCGAGGTCTTGGAAACAACCTTTTTCGGCGCGCATCACTAATCCCGCTGCCGCTGATTTCGCCACGGTTTCTAAAATGGCAGATGACCGTTATGCGGCGATGCCGGCCGTAGAAGAGACTCTCGCGGCACATCTCGCTCCAAATTCCGCTCCGTCTTGGAAGTCACGCCCTCTGCTGCCGTCCAAGCCGTGTACGGTTACTTCCGCTTTGAACGGAAAATCTTAAATGGCCGCTGGGTAGGCCGCGGCTACACTACATTCTATGGGTGTACTCCAGGCTTATCAGGCAGATGTGCTCAAGGAGCTGGACGAGGGAGAAGGCCTGACCCCAGAGGCCGTTAAAGAGCTCAGACGAGCTACTGACTTGGCGCTTAGGGCTACCAAGCACACGGCTCGGGCAGTGGGCAGGTCCATGGCAGGTTTAGTGTCAGCTGAGCGCCATTTTTGGATCACTCTCACTGACATTAAGGAGAAGGACAGGACCTTTCTTTTGGACGCCCCCATTTCGAGTGACGGTCTGTTCGGAGATTCGGTCACTACGGTTGTGGAGAAGTTTCGAGCAGCGAAACAGCAGTCCGCCGCGTTTCGTCAGCTCATCCCACGCAGGGCTAGGGAAGTAGAGCGTCAACCACCTGCGGCTCGTTCACGCTCGTCCTCCTTACAGCGTCATGAGGCCCAGCGGCATGAGCCATCGCCTAAGTTACCCCCTCGTAAGGACTGGGGTCCTAGGTCTCGCCCACCTGCTCACCCACGGCAACGCAAGCGGATTGCCCTGAGTTCGACGTCCAAGGCCTCTCGTTCTCATAGCAACGAGAATAGCAGTTCCTGATTCCTCTGCTCGTCTTCAGAGGCCAGGCCCTCCTTTAGAGAGTGTGGACGAACCGCACAAGCGTATTCGCCTCTCTCGTTGTGGCCTCCTGACTCAGATCTTGACGGTCCCGCCGCATATTGCGCCTCGGGCAGTTTTAGGTCGAGTCCTTACGACGAGCACCCCCTCGGATACTCTGCGCGTTCCAGCCTTCAGAGTTCGAGAGAAAGCCCAAGGGTCATGCGAGCATGGCCCGTTTATGACGGCCTCCAAAGCTCCCACCTTCGGGGTGGGGGCCAGGCCCGACAGGACAATCGGACATCTTCCCGTTATAGCTTTTTCCGCCACTCAGGTGCTCCGGGATCCTATACGGGAGAATCAGGCGTACGTTCCAACCGAAACAGAACGCCCAAGACCCCTGGCAGACTATTGGGCCGCGTGGAGACGCCTGCCCGATATTTCAAGGTGGGTACTACGCACCGTTCGACACGGTTGCACCATCCAGTTTCGGAAAGGGCCACCTCCTTTCAGCGGGGTTCTCCCTACGACGGTACGTCCTGGGGACGCCTCGATTTTAGGTCAGGAGATCGTATCACTCCTAGAGAAAGGGGCTATAGAGGAGATACTCCCCACTCAGATGGAGTCAGGCTTCTACAGCCGGTATTTTGTTGTGCCCAAGATGGTGGTTTTCGTCCGATTTTGGACTTACGTCGTCTAAATCTTGTGCTCAGAGTGAGCAAGTTCAAGATG